TATATATATATAATATGTAATAATATTTATTTTAACTCTGTTCATAGATTATTAGATTTATTGCAAAAAATTATTTTATAATTTTTGGGCAAAAAATAAAAAATGATTCCCAATTGATTTTAAACGATTAAATTGATGATATTATAATGAGCAATATTGAAAAGAGAGTTAATAACAATATAAAAGCGTTGTTTTAATTGAAATGAAAGAATACAAAATATTAAGACTAAGAATATTATACGTTCTTATCATAGTTTTAATTATATAACACAGAAATTATAGAAATTATAGGAATTATAAAAAATATTACTCTAAAAATTATTCTAGAAATTAGAACAATGCATAAGAAATTTTTTATAAGTTTGTCCAAGAGAAAATGAAAAAAATTATTTCTAATTAATGTTAAGTAAACGTACAGTAAGCAATATTAAGAAAGAAGTAGTATATGGGTTATAATCTGATATACACACAATATTTCTAAAAACCTATATATGTAATATGAATCGCAAATTTTTACTAGGTAGTCTATATCAAAATGATAATAACCATGATAAATGTTTGTTTTAAATGTGATAAAAAACTGTGATTTATGAATATTTTATGTATTCTTACATCAGTCTAATAAAAAATTTTTCACCTAAGGACACTGTTAGAAAAAGCAGCCAATTTTATGTACATATAACGATTAGAATTATATGTAAAAAATTTTTTATATTTTTTGGAATAAGAATAAAAAATAATTTTCAGTTGATGTTAAATATATATAATGCGAGATTATAAAAAGCTGTATAGTTACGCGATGCGGCGACGATCTGGAGTGTCAAGCAATAAAAATTTATAATGTTTAAAAAATACGTATTTTTAATAATGTTTTTAATATTTAGATTAAGTTGCATGTAAAGAAATGAAAACAATATTCAATAAAAAAAAAAGATCGCTGCGGACAGGATTCGAACCTGTGCGGGCAAAGCCCATTGGATTTCGAGTCCAACTCCTTAACCACTCGGACACCGCAGCTGATGCTTACACAACTACGTACAATCATAGATAACCAGTTCAGGTCATGTGGACACCAATATTAAATTAATTTAAAAGAGATATTGAGATAATATTACATACAAAAACTATATTTAGCTTAATAATAACATAAAACAAATCTTACAATAATTGTTTTAAATAAATTAATTTTATAAAAAAATATAAAACATATTTAAATATAAAATTCGGAAATACACATAATATAATTA